CATTTGTTTCTCGCTCGTATCTTATTCTCGCGTGTCTCTTTCTCGCTCGTCACATGTTGTTTTCGTTGCGACGGGAGACGGTTTGTTGAGAGTATCGGCAGGACATTTTTGCACACACGAGGAAAATGTAACTCTGGTTGCAATAATCAATTTTAATAACCTTTCAAAATTTTGTCCTGAATGGACTTTTAGTTTTAAACTTAAGAGCTTCAAGTAGGCATTGTTGTTGTTCATTTCTGCGACCAATCACCTACGGAAGCTATGAGACTCGGCTGTCCGGATGCCACAAGTATGATGTTGATGGTTTTAAAACCCTCATAACTTCCGATTCAGCTTCCATCAGCTTAAATTTCCGTAGTCATTATCACAGGATCAAGATCTTAGTGGATGAAAATCTCGGTGAAAACTGTACTTGACAGTCATTTAGCAATAGTGAGCAATAGTCAAAAGGTTACAACGGCCATCAGTATGGTTTCCTCCTGGGACTGGATCAACGAGTCACGCTGGATATGGTAAATGGCGTGCAGGAAATGCTGTAAATATTGAAACTCACAACTGTTTGACCCCGGGACATTCTCCGCCATCCCAGAAGGGCACCAAAGGCCTCTTTTTCTCCAGGGTCTCCGGGCGTTTGCGATATAGGGAGAGTTTTCGGAGTTATGTGACGCCGTACAAATGGGGTCAATTTAGGCATTAATTTAATGTTTTTATTGATACAATGGCCCGATACTTGGAAGTAAACGGATAGCGCCGAAGATCCGATGACCGATCCGATGAGCGAGCGAGAGGGAGAGAGAGAGAGAGAGAGAGAGAGAGAGAGAGAGAGAGAGAGAGAGAGAGAGAGAGAGAGAGAGAGAGAGAGAGAGAGAGAGAGAGAGAGAGAGAGAGAGAGAGAGAGAGAGAGAGAGAGAGAGAGAGAGAGAGAGAGAGAGAGAGAGAGAGAGAGAGAGAGAGAGAGAGAGAGAGAGAGAGAGAGAGAGAGAGAGAGAGAGAGAGAGAGAGAGAGAGAGAGAGAGAGAGAGAGAGAGAGAGAGAGAGAGAGAGAGAGAGAGAGAGAGAGAGAGAGAGAGAGAGAGAGAGAGAGAGAGAGAGAGAGAGAGAGAGAGAAAGAGAGAGAGAGAGAGAGAGAGAGAGAGAGAGAGAGAGAGAGAGAGAGAGAGAGAGAGAGAGAGAGAGAGGCAGTTAATCAGACCCCATTAGTACTCTTAATTCAAATAATGCTTCAACTGACACACTACAGAAGTCTATTCATCATCCTCTAAATAGTCGGTCTCCAATAATGTTCCCCACCGGTTCCAACTCTTTCCGGCCGCTGATAGACCGTTGCTTTCATATCATGAAAGGCTACGTTTCTGGTCTGCCTTTCGAATACCCGCCACTTCCCGCGTCATCTTCAATCCAAATTATCCTTGCGGTTTCAAATCAAAACATTCTAGGCGTCAGAAATACTGGGTTGCCGGGATGGGTATTTTACAAACAACCGCAGCTTGCTCTATGACCGGCACAATCGGCACACTGCGGCACACTGACAAAAAAGATGACCCAAGATTGGTGTGCGGAGTGACCTAACCCTTGGGAATGCCCCTAGTGAACAACAGTTAACGCCACAAACAGCGTGAACACAAAGACTACAACAAAGACTACAACAAAAATATCAGCAGCGTTCTTGAATATCTCTTTTGGAATCATTCAAATAATCTTACTGTTTTCGAGTAACACAATTTACAAAATGTTTATGTTTTGATTACGCTGCTGGTAATTTGAATTCACTTGTAATCCGTATGTCATATTTTTTAAGTGGAGATCGAAGTAGGCCGCACTGCTCAATTGACGTTTCTGCGTTTTGTTGTGTGATTTTGTCGTGAATAATTAAATTCAAATTTGAATTAATAAATAATTGGTTTGTTCCCGTACTTACTTTTTTGATTTTGCTGTTAGTTGCTGTAATGACATAATACAGGAATGCCTACGCGATGGGTGGTGCCGTCTTTCAACCAACTGAGCTGATTTTTTTCTATTTGATTAGAGCCAACCACAAACTTGGCACTCACAAAAAGTCAGCTCAATTGGTTGAAAGACTGGTGAGAAATGGCGGTGGGTAGACGGCACCACCAACCGTGCAAATCGGGGATTCTTGTATTGTTGTCTTACAGCAACTTACAGCAAAAGCAAAAATGCAAGTACGGGAAAAAACCTAATGTGAAGTGGAGTTGTAAATATTGTAAGTGGATTCAGTGAAGGTGACCAAAAGGAGTTCCACTGGCACAACAGTGGAGTCTCGAAAGACAGCAGTTTGTTCCATCGAGCGCTGACGTACAGCTAAAGGGTTATACGGTGAAAATTTGGTCAATATCAACTTGACGTATTTCTTTCAATTTTGCATTTAAAAAACCTGAACACCCCTCATTTTGAAGGTGTGTGTGTGTAGAATGTTGCTCCTATTTTGGTTTTTGGAATTTACTCTTCAGTTGTCAAAATGCCGTCCAAGCAAGAAGAGCAGCGTATCAAAATTTTGCTCGCGCATCGCGAAAATCCGAGCTACTCGCAGGCAAAGTTGGCAAAATCGCTAAAAGTTGCCAAATCAACCGTTACAAATGTAATTAAAGTGTTTGGGGAACGTTTGTCGACAGCCAGGAAGTCTGGATCGGGGGGAAATCGAAAACCGGAAGCCGCTGAGACGACAAAGAGAGTTGCCGGTAGTTTCAAGCGAAACCCTAACCTCTCTCTCCGAGATGCCGCAAATAAGCTGGGTGTATCGTCTACAACCGTGCATCGAGCCAAAAAACGAGCCGGACTATCGACTTACAAGAAGGTAGTGACTCCAAATCGCGATGATAAACAAAATACGACGGCCAAAGCGCGATCCCGACGATGCTGACGAAGTTTGACTGCGTGGTAATGGACGACGAAACCTACGTCAAAGCCGACTACAAGCAGCTTCCGGGACAGGAGTTTTATACGGCAAAAGGAAGGGGAAAGGTAGCAGATGTTTTCAAGCACATGAAACTGTCAAAGTTCGCAAAGAAATATCTGGTTTGGCAAGCCATCTGTACCTGTGGCTTGAAAAGCAGCATTTTCATAGCTTCCGGGACTGTCAACCAAGAAATTTACGTGAAAGAGTGTTTGAATAAACGTCTGCTGCCTTTCCTGAAGAGACACGGTTGTTCCGTACTGTTTTGGCTGGATTTGGCATCTTGCCATTACGGTAAAAAGGCCATGGAGTGGTACGCCGCCAACAACGTGCAGGTGGTTCCCAAGGACAAGAACCCTCCCAACACGCCAGAGCTCCGCCCAATTGAGAAATACTGAGCTATTGTCAAGCGAAACCTAAAGAAGACCAAAAAAACTGCTAAGGGCGAGCAGCAGTTCAAGGCAAACTGGCTTTCTGCGGCGAAGAAGGTGGACAAGGTGGCTGTACAAAATCTGATGGCAGGGGTCAAGCGTAAGGCCCGGCAATTCGGATTTGGAAAAGCGGAAGCCTAACTGAATATTTTTCCTGAATTTTATACTAATTGAACTTGAAAAGGAAATTTAATTTGATTTTTTAAATAAACGATTTCACCGATTTACACGCGTTTTCCCTTGACCAAATTTTGACCGTATCACCCTTTAAGTTATATTAAAAATAAATCAATTAACTCATGCGTCAACCAAGAATTGCACTCCTTCTTGATTGAAAGTTTCAATGCATAATCAGTGGTTTATTAGTCACGATAATGTACTGGGCCGGGGCTTATCGTGCGTGACAATAGAAAATAGTTTTAGGAAAGACGTGCTGATCGGAAATATACAACAAATCCATTTCAAGAGTAGTTGTTATCGTCGTCACCGAGGGATCGAAATCTAGTAACAATACACTAAAAAAATATTAACTATTTCATTCATTAGCGTGAAACTTCAAAGGCACAAATGTCAGCTTCCACAAAACATACAAATTTGAAATTGCTACTCTCTGTTTGTAGTAGCACAGCAAAAACGCTAAGGCTTCCTTAGAGTATCACCTTAAATCATTAGCAGATCTTTGAAAAATTAAGAAATTTCAATTGATGTGAAAAATAACTGCATTTCTCTAGAATATATTCATTCTTTAAATCATGAGCAGTTTTTTGGGAGTATTCACATAGTATTTTTTTCAAATTTCATTTAAACTCAAATCGAAAAATTGGCAAATCAATATTTCGTCAATTATGATGTTGGTATTTTGAAGTTGTCCATTCCACCTTTTTCCCCTCAATGTTAAATTCAACATTTTGTCCATTCGACCTTTTGTCCAGCCGTCCTTTTGTCCCTCTAAATTCAGTTCGATGTTCTGTCCCTTCGACCTTTTGTCATAGATTCCTTCCCGCACCCACTACCGTCATATGGCACCAAAAGGGGGTGGAAAGGATTTCAAATCCCTCTAGCTGGCTGTGCACGATTCGGCAAATGGCTAAAACAGTAACAACGGCAGTTTCCCTCAAGCCTGCCTATATTACAACGTTTGACTGTGTATGAGTGAACCCCTTTTTTTTCCCGTTTTCGTCCGCAATAATGGAAAGAATCAGAAAGCGCGTGTGGCAAAAGCCCATCCTCGAGTTACACAAGTACCTACAGTAGCAAAATCCCAAGATGGAGCGAAAAAGTAAATCCAATGAATTCAGCCGGGGGTGGATGGTAGATATGGTCGAAATTTAAGTCGTTACGGTTTTATTGCGCATACGTAATGTGAAAATGTACCTACCGTCGGTTGTTGCTATAGCCCTTTTTCTACGACCGAGGGGTGATGAAAAACAGCCTATTGCTGCTGTTACTTTTTTTCCTCCGTGCACCGATCGGTAGCGTAGCCGCACCAACGTGGATGAGACGTGGGGACAAGGCGGAAGAAATGGTGCAGCCAATTAATTGCAATTGTAATGAGCTAATCGCACGAGGTGCTGCTGAATTCTTAATGCCGGTCGCGTCTGCAACCTCTGAGCTACGAGGAAGTGCATTTAAAAATCAGCTGAAACACTCACCGGGCAGTCAGTCGGTTCGAAGACATTCCGGAATCATGGTGATGCGAAGTGTGTGCGGCGATTCCGGTGTAGCGTCGAGCCGGAAGATTGTTACCCTTCGACAGGGGATGGTTAATGGAGTCCGGGACAAGCTGCCAAATGGTTCGGATTACTACTATTTCAAGGGCATACCGTACGCTCGACCGCCTGTCGGTGACCTGCGCTTCGAAGCTCCCGTTCCGTTGGATAAGTTCCCAGCGACGGTTCTGGATTGCTCCAAGGAACGCAGCAGCTGCATTGGGATGAATATGCTGACACGGGAAATCAGTGGAAAGGAAGACGGCCTGTATCTGAATGTGTACACTCCAGTGATACCGACGCGGGGTGGAGTGGAACCGAAGCTTCCGGTAATGGTGTTCGTCCACGGAGGCGGAATGATCGGAGGAAGTGGCGACAGTTTGCTGTACAATCCGAACTTTATGGTCCAAGAGGGCGTGGTGTTCGTTACCATGAATTACCGGGTGGGAGTGCTCGGGCTGTTGTGTCTCCCGGAGGCTGGTATCCATGGAAACGAAGATTTGAAGGATCAAGTAGGTCGTGAGATATCGCTTTCGAATTCTAAATCAATCAACGCCTCCTTTGTTTTCAGCACCTGGCTCTTCGTTGGGTCAACGAGCACATTGTAAAGTTCGGTGGAGATCCTTCGAATGTCACCTTGTTCGGGGCCAGTTCCGGTGGAAGTTGCGTAGGTCTGCACTGTACTTCGGCATCATCCAGGAAGTACTTTCACAAGGCCATTCTGCAGTGTGGTCACCATCTGTGTGATTTCACCTACAGTGACCGAGCGGTACAGAAGGCACGGGACCTCGCCAAACACTTTGGATTTTCAGGTGGCTCCGATAAGGAAGCACTGCAGGTGTTGAAGAACGTCCCAGCTGATCAGTTGGTTGCACAGCAGTCGACAGTGCTCAGTCCGAGGGAGCGGGAGCTGGAAGAAATCTATCAAGTCGCTTTCGGTCATGTGATTGAACAGAAGGATTCAAAACATGCCGTTCTTACCACGGATCCGTTGGAGTTCTTTAAAAACCCAAACTCGTTTGGCATTCCGGTCATCATTGGTTACAACGACGGGGAAGGCTCGATGGAAGTGATGAACATTCTGCGGCACTTGAACGATTATAATTCACAGCCAGAACGACTCATCCCAAGAAGCTTGAATGTGGATTATTTTGGCCCGACAGCCAAACAAGTAGGTGAGGAAATAAAACAGCTGATGATTGGAGACAAGCCGTTAACGGAGGATATGCTTCAAGAAATTCTGGAATTCATTTCGGAAAAGTATGCCTACACTGCGTACGTCTTCGCGTATTTCTGGAGTAAGTTCCAACATGACTCGAACCTCTACTGCTATCGGTTTACATTCGATGGACTGCTGAACACGGGGAAAGTCCTGACGAAGATTCCACCGTTCAAAGGAGCAGGCCACATGGATGAGCTGTTCTACCTGTTTACTTCGGCACTGGCAGTCGAAGTGACCGAGTCGGACAAGGCTTACCAAATGCGACAAACGATGGTCCGAATGTGGACCAACTTTGCCAAATGCTCGAATCCAACCCCGGCCTCGGACGAGAGGTTAAATTTCCGATGGAATCCGATACGAAATGGGGATCCCAATGGGAAGGATGATTTCCAGTCAATCTATTTGAACATTGATCAGGAAATGAAGATGGACCTTCCGGATCCAAAGCGTTTGCAGGGATGGGTTCAGCTGCATAATAAATATAACGGAGAGTTTACGAAGCTGGCATACGCGATTGATGACATGAACGTCAAAGAACAATTTTGAATTTCGAATAAAATGCAATTAGCAGGTGATGATTAATTCACACCTTGAATGTCGATTTCCTCAATTCACTCGCACTTGACTGCTGTTGACAGTGCTTGTGACTAACAAGGAAATCCATTATGCATGAGCATTTTCAGGGAGAGAAAGCGCAAACAGCAAATCCAATCGTGGTGGCTCGAATTGTCAGTCATTGCAAGAAATCGAACAACTTTTCTCTTCAAAAATTTCCTCTGTGTTTGATTTTACCAATTCGGTACTAGCAGCAAACGTGTGCCAGCCCATTAACACGCACGATTCCGGCCGGCACGCTTTACCGAAGTCAACCTTATCTCCATACCAGAAAGAGCCCCATCGCCACGCAACCCGTTTCTTTCGGCTTATAACTCATCTACTTACAACATGACTTTCCTCTTTCGCGCTCGTTGTCAAACGGTTGTCGTCGCGTGACTTGAACCATTTTGTAACCACCGTGCCCAACGGGCGAGTGCCGTATCGGTTTTCGCCTTGTCTGAGTAGGCATGGGCTGGTGGCAAAGAGTTCACCGATGACTACTTTGATGACTCTCTTCAGCCAAACTAGATGTGCCTAGTCAAGGTGGAGGTTATGTCAGACGACGGAGGCAACGGGCCGGGGCTCCCTTATCCAATAAAGTAGATTATATTTTTACGACTCTTTTAAAGTTTCCTTCCGTTTGGTTGTGCTTTTTCTGTATCTTGCTCACTGACGTTTGGTTACGGCTGAGAAAGGGGAATTTCGAGCCAATTTTGGAAGCATAACCCACCCACGTTCATAAATTTAACCCACTGCGCTCAACCACGAATATAAAACGACTAATTGATTAAGATGGATTTCTGGGGGCAGAAGGCGTGTTTTACATAAATGTTGATTGGGTTCAGAATCACTTGAAATCTATTTGATGTTATGAAGATACTTACGAAAGTTTGATAGCTTGCGACAGACTTTCAGTCTTTTGAGTGCAGCAAAAACGTTATATTGCTTCAACTCTCCGACGTTTCGGAGATATTTTTCACCATTTTCAAGGATATCTCAAGGAGATGGTCACTCCGTACAGTGTGCCAAAACGCAACTAGGGCACATCTGGGTACACTCATTGGCACTGTTTGGCACCCATGGTGTTACTGGCAACATTGCACTATTTCTGTGCCTGCGCAGTGCGCTTGTGTCAGAATTAAATTTAATCATTGTTGTTGATACACACAACCGCAACCGTGAAGTCCCGCAATGGATTCCCTCTCATGCGCAGGAAGTTGAAGGCAGTGCCAAATATAGCAACAAGGTGGAAAGTGTACGGGAATGTTAGAAAAATGTTGCCACCTCAGAACCCGCACCGGGAATTTCCGATGCCCAGGAAGCGAAAGAGGATTCGATTACAATGCCAAATAATGCCTGGAACAGTTTGCACATCTTATTCCAACTGTGTTGATATCATGTTTGTGCTAGGTACGTGTGTAAAAGCCCAACGTTGATGGTTTATTACAGTATTTTTAGGTAATACATTACTACTTCTGCTATAAGCAATTAATTATTTTGCTTTCGGTAGCCTAACCAAAAAAAATTCTTCTGTAGTAGATTGATCGAGCTTCTTCTGGTTGTTCTTCCGAACTTCCTACTGCACAGGATGAACGCCTCCGTCTTCATCTTGTTCGACAAGTTGTAACCGCTTCGGACCGACCGGCAAATTTTAATTCATTTGGGTTGACCTTTGCCATACGCTGCATAAAGTCAAAGTCTTTTTCGAGCTGCTCGTTGTGACAGGTGTATGATTCCAGTTCCGGGTACGGTGCCGCGCAAATACTAGCTACCTGCTCCACACGACAACCGTTAGTACAGCTCCTCAATGATAAAAAGGCATTCAGGACGATAGAAGCTTCAGATCAAGGTTCAAATAAGTGTAGAACGTTTACCTATGACCTTAACTCCCTCGGATCTAGAATGGAACACCAGCATCAAGCACTCCAGATAGAGATTGCACAGATAGTACAGCCAAACGTCATGGCACGCGCTGGTGGTTTGGGAAAATTCGTACTTCTCGAAGCCCTTGGATCCAGTGGTCGATGTTGCTCTCGGAGCCACTCTGTAGAGTGACGATAAAAGTATTTTATAAACTTCAAAGTGGAGCGTGACAACCTTACCATGCCCGTCGTGCTGCTTTTCGTCGGTAAAGTACATTAGCGCAAACTTAGTCGCGTTCCTCAGATTGTTGTAGAAGAACCGATAGCCCTGGATGCACATAATGTCCAAGTTATTGTCCCATTCCTGGGTGTCTCGTACGCGCACAGGACAAATCACATCGCATCCGTTCCGCACTCCAGAGTACCGAGTCTACCAGAGTCTTGCTTCTGGCCGGCCTAGACTTCCTCCTTCTTTCTCGGGTCCATGTTGGAATCCTGTATAGGTGCAGGTGCAGGTCCTTCAACGAGATGCCGGTAATCGAATCCATCGGATCGAATCCCGAGGGGTTTTTTCACTCGTGGTTTCAGCAAGCAAAACCAAACATACGAGCTGTCAAAGTACCGGGATGCCAAACATGTAATTATTCACCAACATGCAACGTCACCCCGATGACTGCCATTGCCGGTACAGCACGGCACACGTGAGGCACACTGAGAATTAAGTTGGCGCAAAATCAAAGTGTAGAGTGACCACATTATACATGAAGAGGATTTAGAAAATTGGATAGGTATTGTGTTGGCTGTGTGGCTTACAGAGGCTACGTTTTTTGTTAAGTGTATGCGTGGTTTTACATAAATCTGTCTTTGATTATTAATGGCGTCCATCTACGGCTACAATACAAATTCGGTTGGATTTAAAATTCTTGTTGTGCTCTACTCTACACTAGGGTGTCCCGAAATTGCACTATGTACGGAAATTTGGGGGCTCACCCTCCAAATGATAGCTAAGGGTGTAATAAACAAACTTTTGTATGGCGGCAACTCTGGGAAATGTTGTTTAGAGGTCGCCCCGACGAGATCTTTGAAATAAGTCCATTTTTCATAGTTATTATCCAATAAATATTTTTAATTCTTTAAATCTCAGTGAAACCTTACCCATTTATATTTTTCGCAGATTCCCAATTCCCAAGACCTTTTTTTCATTCGAACTTTTGTCTATTCGACATTTTGTCCTTTAAAGTTCAATTCAACCTTTTGCCCATTCTTCCTTTTGACCATTTTGACCTTTTGTCCCTCTACGTTCAATTAGATCTTCTGTCCATTCGATCTTCTGTCCAGTCGACCTTTTGTCCATTCGACAATTTTTCCCTTCGATCTTTTTTCTCTTCGACTTTTATTCCCTTCGACGTTTTGTTCTTCGCCCTTTTGTACATTCGACCTTTTGTCCATTCGACCATTTATCCATGCAACCTTTTGTCCATTCGACCCTTTGGCGATTCAACATTTCTCCATGCAACCTTTTGTCCATTCGACCTTTTGTCCATTCGACATTTCTCCATGCAACCTTTTGTCCATTCGACCTTTTGTCTATTCGATTTTTTGTCCATTTCAAACTTTTGTATATTTCGACATTTTGTTCCATTTGACCTTTTGTATATTTCGACGTTTTGTCGATTTGACCTTTTGTCAATTCGACCTTTTGTCCCTTTAAATTCAATTCGACAATTTTTCCATTCCACCTTTTGTCTCTTTAAGTTCAATTCAACCTTTTGTCCTTTCTTCCTTTTGACTATTTCGATCTTGTGGCCATTCGACCTTTCTACGTTCAATTCGACTTTGTCCATGCGACTTTTGTTACCTTAGATCCTTTTTTCAGTTGACATTTTGTTCTTCGACCTTATGTCCATTCGACTTTTTGTCTCTTCGGCCTTATATCCTTCGACCTTATATCCTTCGACCTTTTGTGCATTTGACCTTTTGTCCATTTGAACTTTTGTCCATTTGACTTTTTGTCCATGCAACCGTTTGTCCATGCAACCGTTTGTCCATTCTACTTTTTGTCTATTGTAAACTTATGTCCATTTCGATATTTTTACCATTTGACCTTTTATCAATTTCGACATTTTGTCGATTTAACCTTTTGCCAATTCGACTTTTGTCCCTTTAAATTCAATTCAACCTTTTATCCATTCCAACTTTTGTCTCTATAAGTACAATTCAACCTTTTGTCCATTCTACCTTTTGACCATTTCGATCTTGTGTTCATTCGACCTTTTGTCTCTCTACGTTCAATTCGACTTTTTTCCATGCGACCTTTGTTACCTTAGATCATTTTTTCATTTGACATTTTGTTCTTTGACCTTATATCCAGTCGAATTTTTGTCCCTTGGACCTTTTGTCCTTCGATCTTATGTCCTTCGATCTTTTTTCCCTTCATCCTTTTGTACTTAGATCTTATGATCTTCGACCTTTTTCCAATCGAACTTTTGTCCATTCGACCTTTTGTGCCTCTAAGTTCAATTCGACCTTTTTTCCATTCGACGTTTTGTCTCTATAAGTTCAATTCAACCTTTCCTCTTTCTACCTAAAGACCATTTCGAACTTTTGTTCATTCGACCTTTTTCCGTCTGCGTTCAATTCAACGTTTTGTTCTTCGAACTTATGTTCTTCGACCTTTTGTCTCATAAACCTATCCTTTGACCTTATAATCTTTGAATTTTTTTTTCATGCGACCTTTTGTCTCTCACAATTCAATTCGACATTTTGTCCATTCAACTTTTTAGCTTTCGACCTTTTGTGCCTCTATGTTAAATTAGACCTTTTGTCTTTTCGACCTTTTATCCATTCAACCTTTTGTCCATTTAAAACTTATGTTTATTTCTACCTTTTTACCAATTGATCTTTTGCAATTTCGATGTTTTATCTATTTTACCTACCTTTTTGTCCCTCTAAATTCAATTCAACCTTTTATCCACTTCATCTTTTGTCTATTAAGTTCAATTCAACCTTTTGTCCATTCTCCCTTTTGACCATTTCGAACTTGTGTTTGTGTCCATTCGACCTTTTGTCTCTCTACGTTCAATTTGACTTTTGTCCATTCGACCTTTTTTCCCTTCGATCTTTTTTTCCCTT